CCAGAGCGAAGTCCGCTGGAAACTGCAAAATCGAAGGCAGCCGGGCCATGGAGCCCCCAGCCTGGAACCCACACGTCGGCAGGTCGACGTGCGGAAGCCTGGTTCAACGACACTCCAGCTTCGCATAGGCCCGAATCCTCCGGCCGAGCAGGAAGCAAGCCAGGTTTCTCTAGCTCTGGGCTGAGGCCAGCGGCAGCCAACTCGGCGGCAAAGAAGTTCCGCAACCGGTTATGTCTTTTGCCGCGGTCTCCACCACATGGGCATACTTGAGCGTGGTCCCCAAAGGAATCCGCCACCCCATCGCAAAGAGGGCAAAAGCCGTCGGACGGTGCAATGGGAAGGCGCAATCTCAGTCGGAGGAGAACTCGGAACAAATGGGTGTTGATGTGAAGGCCGAGATTGTCAGCTGGTAAGGCAGTGAGCCACGCTCCGGCCCCGGGTTGTTGGACCAGTTGGAGGTGGCCTTTGGCTGCTTCGCCAGTGGTGGCAGCTATCAAGTGGGCCTGCTGCGCCTTGTCCACTGTGGCCGACAAGTCCCGTTGTTGGTAGGACGGGGCCAACGAGTGGATTTGATCCTCAGGCAAAACGACTTGGTTGTATAAGGTCAAAGCCTGGTGGACCGGGGGAGGCACAACCCGATAGGTAGGGTCAAGCTCCGTGCACGAGGCAGCAAGATGGGTGATGGACGCAATGTAGGCCGCAGGGGCATGCAAGGCAGTGCTGCGAAGACCCAGCCCGCCAGCTTTGATAGCGAGACTGGCTTGCAGCCAGGTGTTCTGGGTCAAGGGCAGCCCCCCCAATTTGTTCGAGGCAGGCTTGCGCCTGCTCATCAAAGGCTTGAAGCGCTGGGCCATGGCCGTGGCACGGGTGAGTTTGACGTGAGACTGGCAATGCCGGAGGAGGAGCATCGCCGTCTGGGCATCTGGGAGATCGGCCAAGGCTTGGAGGCATGGCTTGGCCGGCTCAACTCGTGCCGAAAATGTGTGGCGATTGCAATATGCCTCATCTCCAATGGCAGCCCCCCAAGAAAGAAAAGTTGCCCGTGGTGTTGAGGTGGGGAAAAGCTGGAGCATTGCCAGTTCACATTTCGATAGTTCCAGCTGGAGCCCGATGTTGCACGTGACATGTTGCAAAGCTTGGAGGCCTTGTGCGAGTTGGCTTGCATATGCCGTCATGACCAGATCGTCCAAGTACGCGAAACACACGTCGCAGTGCCCCCGGGCCGCAACCAAAGCCGGCTGAAGCGCCAGGGAAAACAGCAAAGGGCCTAGGGGATCGCCCTGTTGCACTCCGCAGGTTGAAGCGATGGTTTCGCCCGCATACAGAAGACGGGAATGGTGGCAGGTAGGACCCCACGGCCTGGGCAAAATAGTTCCTGTTGGCCGCCATGAGCGATGCCCGTGCAATGGACAGCTGAGCACCGGCTCTGAAGATCAGGGTCTCCCGAACATCCCTCATAGACTCCAGCGGCAGGAGGAAGCGGTCCGTGAATGTGGCGCTCGCATGCTTCTTGATCGCAACGGTGTCGGACAACGTTTCCGTTTGTGCCAGCATGGAGCGGGCCACGGACGAGAGGCCTATCAAAACTTCAGCCCTCTTCTCCAATGCCACGGCACTGCGAGATGCCGCCTCTGGGAATAAATGCGACGCAAACTTGGCACATCCAACGGCGATGTCCCTATAGGGATGTCAGTGCAGTCCAGATCGCAGTCGAAGAGCTTCAGGCTGTAGGCGTGGAACGGTTCGTAGACCGACCAGAACGGGTAGGCCGCTCTCAAGCGCGACCCGATGGCGTGAGCACTCGTGAGTGATGCCACCCCAGCGGCCCTCTCGGAGAGGGTCCACGCCATCCTCCCCAGGGGCGCATCCATCGCGAAGTGTGAGAGCAGCGCCAAGATCAGGTCTGACGCGTCAAACCCCTTCGTCCCGCACACCCCTGCAAGCACCATGTCGGCCTCCCTCGCGTGCTTCAGGGATCTGTTCGGAGCGGCAGAGTGCGCACCCCTCCTGACCCTGTCGAGAGAGTCCTGCTGCTCTGCCATGTGGTGCTCCGTGGAGTGGAACTCGGCCGCAGGACACTCTTACGCGACACTCTTGTGGCACACTCTTGTAGGACACTCTTGTGGGACACAATTGTGAGACACTCTTGTGGGACACTCTTGTGGGACACTCTTGTGGGACACTCATACGGGACACTCTTGTGGGGCACTCTTGTAGGACACTCTTGTGGGACACTCTTGTGGGACACTCTTGCGGGACACTCTTGTAGGAAACTCTTGTGGGACACTCTAAAAGGACACTCTTGTAGGACACACTTGTGGGACACTCTTGTAGGACACTCTTGTGGGACACTCTTGTGGGACACTCTAGAAGGACACTCTTGTGGGACACTCTTGTGGGACACTCTTGTAGGACACTCTTGTGGGACGCTCTTGTGGGACACTCTTGTGGGACACTCTTGTGGGAAACTCTTGTCGGATATTCTTGTAGGACACTCTTGTGGGACACTCTTGTGGGACACTCTTGTGGGACACTCTTGTGGGACACTCTTGTGGGACACTCTTGTAGGAAACTCTTGTGGGACACTCTTGTAGGACACTCTTGTGGGACACCCTTATAGGACACTCTTGTGGGACACTCTTAAGGGGCACTCTTGTGAGACACTCTTGTGGGACACTGTTGCAGGACACTCTTGTGGGACACTCTTACGTGACACTCTTGTAGGACACTCTTGTGGGACACTCTTGTAGGACACTCTTGTGGGACACTCTTGTGGGACACTCTTGTAGCACACTCTTGTAGGACACTCTTGTGGGACACATTTGTGAGACGCTCTTGTGGGACACTCTTGTGGGACACTCATACGGGACACTCATACGGGACACTCTTGTAGGACACTCTTGTGGGACACTCTTGTGGGACACTCTTGCGGGACACTCTTGTAGGAAACTCTTGTGGGACACTCTAAAAGGACACTCTTGTAGGACACACTTGTGGGACACTCTTGTAGGACACTCTTGTGGGACACTCTTGTGGG